GAGTTATGAGTACTGACTATTGAAAATCCCTAACTAGTTTGAAACGATTATCAAGTGAGTTTCTGGCTTTCAATGTTTCTCAAGTTGATGACAGTCTCTGGTGAAAACTAGCTTGAAATACAAGAAAATAATAGTATAACATTATGCAATAACAGTAACATGTTTATTTTAAATTCACTTTGGCTTTTATGAAGAAGCTATTCAGGATGAAATTTCAATGTTATAAAACATTGAAATTTCGAATATTTACTTATCACGAATGTAAATTTTTTCAAATAAGCTTGGTGTTATATCAACTTCAGTACGTAAAAAGAAAGAAGTATGACAGGATTTGGTTATGGCTGAGGAGTTTATGGAAGCAGATTTGTTTGAATATAACTAAAACGTTATACTTAGTTGATAACATTTTTATCAAGGCTATTAAGCGATTAATCTATTAATTTGTGTCTAGTCAAATGCAATTTCTCAAATATTCATTCTTTAGCAATGGAATAAAAACATATTTTTATTACTTAGTTGTCTGCTGGTCAAATGTAAGGGAAGTCAAATTATCAAACATACCAAGCAACAGGATCTGTTTACATTAAGTTAACCAGGTTTAATCAAATAAACTGATTATAATTTTACTTTCCAATCCAAAACGTCACACTACCCTCCAGGTATTACTACAAATCAACAGTCAATATCAGAATGATTAAATAGTGACCTTATCTAGGCGAGTGATGCAAAATACTTAGGTTTTTCAAGATTCTATTTTCAATTTCTTTGAAACTATTTGTCAAACTAATTCTCACTAGGTAGATGACAATATAAAACTTTTTTATTAGTTTCCTATACTCGGTGTACAGTAGAAATAATACCATCAATAATAATCAGCTTGGAGAAATTCTTCAGTTATAGCCTTTCAGTATTCTTTACATTACACCTACCTTCTTTTTAGCATTTATTACCATTACTAGTAGATCAGTGAGATAATTTTGTTACATGACCTTTAGATGTTTATTCTTTTCTACCGACTTTACATCACATTCCTTCTGCTGTACATTACATGTGCACGTGTCTTGATAAGTAGAAAAATGACATAAATGAAAGTAGTGATAATAATGTTGTTTAATTGATGTGGTTTACAATTTTGGATTAGTTTTTAGACAAATCAACATAAATTACATTCTGGACAACAACAGAATTAGTAAATGATGAAATATGAAGTAACATATTTTAAATAGCTAACTAATAGACATAAATTTTGTCGATACGAAAGTCACATAGTGGGTATTGTTATATTAAATTGCAGTCATTGTTCAAATGTACAAGCTATAAATAACTTTACTTTAAGACAGTTAATTCTTATTCTTGTGTATTTTCTATCTTTCAGTCGAATGATAATCACATATATAGGGTTCCCTATGAAGGTTTTATTCAGAAACCATTTCAAAGTTATTATAATTTCATAAACCAGCTGACTAACTGACAGATTGGTAATCAATGCTAGCAAATTTGGTTATGTTCACTCTTGAAAAGCTATGAAACGTTAGCTTCTTATTGACGGATTCTAGGATGTTAATTGATACTATGTTGCTATAAAGTCTACGTTAATTAACATTAATGTTAATTTGACTAGTAAGTAACTTTACATCCAACACTACCTTCCATATTTCTAAATGTCAGTTAAATCCAACGACCATGTTTTTAACCTTAGTATACAGCTGAACATCATCCAAGAATAAAATTCAGACAATAGACATTTTCAAGTGAATAGTAAGGCAAAAAACCATAGTAAATGTTTTGGTATTCGCTATAAAGATAATCAGAAAATAGTTCTTACCGCTATCTAAAAATTTATGAAGCGAAAACCCTACAGCAACATATATAGCAGACACTCAATGTAAAACATACTCAATACAAATGCATGGCCTTTCGTGTTTACATGTTTCATTCCATTTAGACAAGTGCATTTTAAAATAAGTCTCTGTGAAACTTTGGTACAAAATGAAAAAACAAACGATATTTCATACGTCTTTTTGATGCTAGGAAGTGCTGATATTATTGGAACTAAAATGATTGGTCTATAAAGGTCAGAATGCTATCTTTCTGAATAACCATAAGGATCTTTTCACCACTGTACAAATGAAGGCACTTATTTTTGGACGTCTGACTTTGAAGGAACTAAATTCAATGAAGTGCAGAATTATATTTACTGGAATGAAAAACCGTGATAAGATGAAATCTTTAATTTTTTTCAAAATATAATCCTCCCCTTTCCATGAGTGAAACACAAATTATATTTTTAGCATGATAACAATACGTTACTCACTATGGTTTGTTCAGATATATACAAAATATTTTCTGTAGTCTAATCATAATGAAAATTGGAGTAATCAATTCTATATTTTCGGGTACAGTAAAAAGTCTACATAAAATATACAGTATTGTTCTTAATTACCACTTTCCCGTGTATCTAGTTTGTAAACATTCGAAACACGTTGAAATATGTTTCGATTATGTTCATCTACTAACTGTATCAGTTTACCACCACTTCCTCAATTCATTATAAGTTTAATAAATGAATCGTTTCTCCAAAGAATCAATAAGAAAATACGCAAGCTATTATGATACCTCTATTTGTGTCTTAAAGTGTTTGGTATCACGGCAGTCTATGGGTGTTCCACAAAAATGAATGATTCCATTTCACTATTTGCTTTGTTAAAACAAATCTGAGGTAGAAATATGTATTCCAATAGTTGACCAGTTTTAAAACTGGCATGCTGAAAGTTTGGGCGAAATCAATAAGTAATGGTTACTGAAACACTATCACATTTTTAAATTCATTACTTCCATTTCAAGTTATGGGAAGGTGATAAATTTATTCGTATTCTAGGTAAATAATTTTACCACGCCTATTTTTAGTAGTCTCAACACTTGAAGGGAGCATCCATAACCTACAGATCACCATTTATTAAGTGGCATAATCCATTACTTTTTATTGTTGGCAAAATCCAGTTTTAAATAACTTCCAATAAGAGAAATCTGATATTTTCTATATTATAACAAGTGTCAAAGGTTATTACTTTTACAAATCAACTATTTTCCTGTGCACAGACTGAGTCTTATGAAAACGTAGAAGCTAGGCAGATGCAATTTAGATTGCAGAGCTTATAATCGTTTGTTAAAATTTATGATGAAAGCAAATTACGCAAACATCAAAACATAAACCTGTAAAATTTCAACAATCTTTTTTTATATATAAATTCCACTCCATAACAAACCACCATGAATAGAATTTTATAGTTAATTGGTAAAGGAGTATAAAGAAGTGTATAAAATAACATCGATATTATATCCTCCTAGTGCATTCTGCCAATGTGTAACATGTGAATGCATTAGATTTCTGTAAAATCGTGCTAGTTTTGCGAAAAGTGTCATCAAAATTATAGAAGGTTAACTTGTTTTTTTTTTAATTTCACTTGACAAACTGCACCTAACATCTCTTTATTTAAAGTAATGCAAGAGATCATAACCTTAAAAAGTAACTTTAATTTTGCGATAATTCTATACTAAATGAATAATTGACAGTAAAAAAAGGACAAACGAAGAGGTTCGGCATTACTGTATTTTAGGATACTGAAGATTCCCATTGTGAAAATTAGAACAACACATATAAGCGAACAACTGTTCGCTTTTTTTCTGTCCGACAGGAAGTTATTTTCAAATGGAGAAGACGAAATTATCTGAATAATTCACGTGGAAAAATATCGTAGTAACTGCTTTCTAAATAGTTATTTTTTGAATGATCATGTAAGGACACATACGATGCGCAAATAATTATAAATACTAAACCTGAGATATCTGACCTAACATAAAATACTCCAGGCTATTTGAGCAAAAGATGACTATCTCAGTAATTGAAAAGTGGTACAAATATGTGTAAGCAGTGAAACATGACAGAAAAGCGATTTCAGTAGAAAGTAGCAGAACATGGGGTGGTGAATGAGAATACAGATGACCACTGTTAAATTTGATGCTACTAGAAACAGACAGAGCCTCTGTATACGTTTAATGACCATTTCTAAAACAAATGCTACAATTAGCACAAACATTAATTGTAAAAACACCTTATTTAGCAAGACCAGATCGACTAAGACGTTTTAAAATAAGGTCTCGCAATACTGTCAGTTTTTATTTAAACTGGAAAATTTAATCCACTTCACTTCATATCATTTTTATTTAACTACCTTGATATTTTCGAGTTCACTGTTGCTGTATATTTTATCAAGATTCATATAGCTTTGTAGAAAACTTCCCGTTTTATTATATAAAAAAAGTAAAGTGTTAGTTCAATGGGAGATGACATAATTTAGTGTATTAAGTAGTTAACGAGAAGGTTCAAAAACCATGTTCTAACTATTAACAGCTGGACAAAAGGGCCGAGCTCGTAGATTTCTCCAGGTATTATTCAAATTAACTCAGAATTGAAGTTAAATAAATGACTTGTATTAAATCAGTCATGTGCAATAGGTCCCTTAAAAAAAAGATTTTATTTCAGTAATGATTTCATTGTAAAAGTATCAAGTTCTCAGGTAGACAATAATAGCCAATATCAAAGCGACACTGATATAATCTATTAGGTTAGGGTTTCTTAATGTTTATAATTCATCTTCTGTTCATTATTTACTAGAAAATAGCTAAACTGAATCCCAATATTATCCTGTAGGCTTATCTACCCTTGGCTTCAAAGTCACAATTTATAACAAAGACCTGAAAGTACTTATAGAAACAAGTTTCGAGTGAATGTTGGTTCGACACCTACAACCCTTTTGAAAAAAAGATCGAAATTCAACAACGCGGAATTACTGAATAAATGGATTTCGCTAATAGAGTGACTTATTTACTTTTTACATTATGAAACTTCAGTACCTCAGATCAAGTATGTTTAGTTATCAATTAAAAAGCAAATTCGACCAAATATTTATTTCTGATATGATTAATTGTTTTTAACTTACCTCACGAAATTTAACCATAGCTTTAGCGATTTTAGTGTCTGGGGGAATCCAAGTAAAGTGTATCTCACGACGATAACATTTTAGAATAAATTGGCCTGGGAGTGAATGACAGTAAAACGGTTTCACAACAAGCAATGGAGGTTTAGGGACTTCATCTTCAGGAAACTGAAAATTGTCTACATCTGTCCGGTTTAAATTCGTTAAGACTGTTGTTACGTTTGGAGTTGCTAATGTTGTTGTCAATAGTTCATTGTCCATTTTGTGTTTAAATTTTGTGATGAAGTTGTAAATCCTCAAAACTACTTTCCTTGTCCTGTAGAGTAATTAGAATTTCAGTGTGAATGGTATCCCAATGAGAATTAATACTAACAGAATTATTTTTTGGATGATTTTGTAAATAAACGTTTGGCACAATGGCTTTGGATACTAAATTGATGTGAATTCTTCAACTATACAGTTAAGTTTCAATGGTATGATAAACAAGTTGAAATCGATTTTGAAGATGAAAAGATTTCAGCATACCTTTCTGTGCAATTACAATCTAAAATAATTGGAAAAGTACATATTCATCTTTTTTTATCTCAAGGAAAACAACTTAAACAGTGTTAAATATAATCATAATTATAATGTTCCCTTGGCAGCTCAAAACGTGATGCCCAAGAGTAATTGGATGAAGGTTACGTATACATAAGTGCATGTGGATAAGTACACGTATACAACAATAAATGAATAGATAAATTTTAACAATTTCAGTATACGTCAGCACGCAGATTATTCTCTCTTTGCCCAACTATAGAAGCACCGAATATACAGCATAACAAATGCTGTTTTAAGGTAATGGTTACTGGAATAAATAGAAGAGACTTACAGAGATTGTGATAGGCTAGTTACATGTACCATGTGATTCATCTCCCTTGTAGGAAAATCACAATAGTGAATTTTAGTATTTCATTGTAGGTATTATGGTATGCTGAATGCGATATATGTGAACAGGAAATCTGTTGGTGTGTAAGTGTATATTCTTGCGTGCGTATGCACGAAAATTGACTTGCTTTAGGGCATATAAACAAACCTATTAATATGTATACAAACATCTACCTGTCTTACATAGTATTGAATGTCTTGGGCACACAGAACTTAGTGTTACAAACAGGTCGAATGATGATAATAAAGACTATGTATGTCTATTACATGTTTGTCTAATCTATTTGATATATTATTATGGGTTTAAAAACAAATAAGAGCAAATTTCCATAAGCACGGTTTAGTCAACAACATCCTATTTTGTGCTAATAAATGTTTCTTTGTTTTCTCGACTTTCATTCTCTTCCAAACCAGTGATTAGATTAAATTAGCTCCGACTGTTTCCAATTGCAGGAAACAATAATAACTGCCATTGATATATTCTAATCTCTGAAATCAATTTGATGTCCAGGAATTCCGTTTAGTATTGAAAAGTTCGCTGAATTAGTTATTCTGTTCCTCATTTTAGTTTCATCTCAGCTTGTTCTTGATATGATAAACTCACTAAAATTCTAAGAGTGCTTTTTAGTGAATGAACATGAGCTCAAATTTAGATCTACCACTCGTATTTACAATAGTGCTGTTTCGAACGTGTTGAGAGATCATTAAAATTGTGAATTATGCACAATACCCTAAAATTGACACACAAGTTATGAAAAAAGAAAGCAAATATTAGTCTGATACACATCTATACACACATGGATGTTCTCTTATGAGTTCCATCATTTATTTATTGTAGCAAAAATCTTATTCTTCCAAACTCTAACTGAAAAGGATTAAATTAACTATATTCTACATTGCCGTCTGTGAAGTAAGCCAATATGACCACTTCTAGTTAGTGTGTCTGGAAATCTCAGTTTGGCTTCAGTAACTCTGCGATAAAATTCACAGATAACCATCGAAAACTAAGATACATAAGAAAATGCGCATCTCATCAGGATTTAAAAACTTCGAATGATTTACTATTTTGAATCCCGAGGTTTTGAACCTATTTACATTCCGCATACTATGCTATGGACATAGGTACCATTGGATGCCAGGTCACTGGTCCTGAGATCAAGCGTTCTCCGTGAGACCGAAGGTCTTGGGTCCAGTTCTCAGTGTGGTCGTGAATGTCTACCTCTGAGAAGCCCTATACGAGGACAAGATATTTGTTAGGTGATTCCTGGTTTCCAGGAATATATATATCTTTCTAATACATCTAACCAAAAATGTTATTTGCCAACTGTTAATGATTTATATTACTATGATCTTAAAACAAATTTTTGTAAGTAGATAAACTGTGAATCGATATGATGAAACTTTTGTTTTCTTTTCAGGTTAATAACGTATTTGGTTTTAAAAGAATTAGCGACTTTCTTTGTAAAATAGGATACAAAACTATGACTTCAAATGAATTGATAAGATGTATTATAATTATGGATAGGAACAGGTTTTAATTGTTAGTTGAAATCATTAATTGATAGGCATTTATTCACTGAAATGAAATCAACTGATAAATATAATGGGGGTATTAGGATCCTGCTTTTACTTTGATCATGTTTATACCATAGTGATCCGTCAAGAAAATCCACTGTTTGATCGTTAAGAAAGTGTATAATTTGGGATTGGTTCTATTCATATTTTAGGCCAAAAACAATTTGAACTATAGGGTTTATTAACGGTTAGAATTAAGAGCGTTTAACATCTTATTTAGGATTCAATGAATATCTACCAATACTATGTCTAAATTATACAAAACTGTATTGATAGGACATAAAAAACTACTCAGAAGAGATTATAGTAGTGAATTTCTCATAATTATTAAAACTTCTTTTGTCATAATATCACACATATCAGTAACTGACAATGATTAGAAGTCATTTACCTTTGATCAAGTTCCATTTTAAAAGCCAGATTTTTCTATCATTATAGACATCCCTTGGCATAAATAAAAAGTAATATATTCGTAATATCCCAATGAGTAGAAAAATTAAACTTCCTGATGTTTCTTGACTCAGTGTGATCCACTTCTTCAAAGAATAAATAACCAAATCAAAGGTAATCCAAGTTTAAATAGTACAAAGGGTAAACGTAAGAATATTATGTGCGATCGATCAAAAAACAGGTCTGAACAAGTCATTGAGATATTACAAATACATTATTTCACTTATAACAATCTACTCAATGCTCAGTTTATTCGAAATTATCAAGTCAAAGCTTGGTAATGCTACTTACAAATCCCTTGGAACGTTTATCAAATTAATTAATTTTAGTTAAATAACTTCTAAGCAGTATTATGTATCTGCAAAATTAGTTTAATTCTTCGCAGTTAGAAAACCAACATCATACTGGGTGGTTGAATAAGCGTTAGTCCCTTCCAGAATAAAACACGCTGACATTCAGATATTCGAGCTAAACTATCTTAACTAACTTTGTATGGCAGTTAAAGTATGGACATATGAATTAAGTCTATGGCATACATGGTAGAGAAAAAAAGTTGGATTTAAACAAAATATAAACGGTGCACAGACCATCTGGAAGCGCTTAATAGAAAGATTTTGTCGTTCATAATTGTTTATGATCACATGAATTATTACCGTACTTTCGATTTACGCTTGTCTTTATTCATTTGTTATACTAAAAGACAAGAAGAGAGAAGAAATATTTCTCAGTTCATTCAAAATCGGGGCCTTACACTAATATATATGTGGGAGGCTCATGCTCCTCCACGATGGCTAACAGGCATATGTTAGAAAGTCGATATCAATTTTCATAATCAGTTAATGATTACAAGTAGTTGAATAAGACTAAGAATAGGAATTGAAATTGGATGTAAATATGATGATAAGTAACAGGTAAAATTTGAAATCAGAATTTTGACAAAATCAAAGTTCGGGAAAGTTTAAAAGAAGAGAAAGTAAGGCTTTGAATCATGTAATAGTATGTAAGTAAATGGAAAGGGTCGACTCGGAAGTTGTATAAACTAGTTTTCTGTATGCAAATGTGACGTTTTTTAATGTGCATTCTTGTGGCCCCTGACTTATGTGAGAGTCGGATTCTGAGACCAAAGGATAAATTTCATTGCAATTTTATCTTCCTGTGAAAAATATTATAAAGCTTGAGTAAAAGTGTCTTGTTATGTAGACATAAGCAGTCACGTTTTACGCTAAAACTATCTAACTTCTGATGTTTTCCAACTGGCAGTAAATTCTGAGGCTGAACAGCGGTTATCATGTAATACCTTAGTTGTTCACATTTCATTTTAAACTTGGCTGTAACTGACTGAGTTCCATATTTCACCACTTAATAAGTACACGAATTTATTTGCTTAATGCTCGGTGGATCTAAAAATCACTAAGACATGTTTCAATGTAACAAGAAATTTATTAAGAATCCATTGTTTATTATATGTTCTATTATTAAGCACACCGGAATTTATTGTGAACCTCTCACGAGTGAATACCAAATACCAAATATTCTAGAGGTTAATCTGTTTGCTTAATTTGTACTAAATCAAATCCAACTTATACTAAATTTATTCCATAATGCATCATTCATCTTTAGATTTGGAAACTGATATCAGATTCCGACAATACTTCCCATACGGTTGTTAATGAGGTTCCTATTAAAACATAAGTAAATAGACAATTGATTTGTTTAAAATCAGATGATGTTATCACCTGAGATTTATTGTAACAGTCGACTTAACAAAATAGTTTGACTGTGCAATTTTTACCCGTAAATAATACTGACCTAGACATCAAGTCTCATCGTCAAATTGCCGTAATGTTAATTTGATCGATAACACTAATTAAAAATACTAATGGCTTAACAGCATGGTGCCGTTTACTTTCCAGTGACCAATCAATGCATACGATAACTCTAAAACAAAGGTAGATGGTGTGAAAAATAATCATCCTAACCAACGTAAACTTAACACAAAATCATAGTTTATAATCCCCACGATCTATTTGTAATTATTCCGGTTCATGTCACCTTTTCCGACTACATCTTTGGAAAAATAAGTTTAAATTGAGTGGTAAATTTGGTTTGAAATTCTACCACTCAAATATGATGCGATTCGAAAAGTCCCGGGTGTGTACTAAAATAGAAGTTAGGAAATTTATTTTAGTCACCAAGGGTTTGTGAAGTCAACTGTTTTAAAAGTAGGTAAGTGACTGAGTAAAGTGATATATAATGATCTAACTAGGATTTTCTTCACTGTATTATTACATACATAATTATTCCTATAG